GACGCGAACCGCAGTCGACCACGTGGGAGTCCAGCAACATAGCCATTACACTAACTGCTGGTCCCGAGGCAACAAGTCTTACACAGAAGTCAAATGAGATATATAGTTTTCCTTCCTGTAAACTATCAGTCAATACAGAAAGATAATCTACCACAACTCCGAGATCATCTATCCTCACCAAATAAACTACAAATTCACTTATACTTCTCTTTCTCTAGAAAGTTAAGGTTACCTGGGACCAGCTGTTGGCATGGTGACTATGTTGCTGGACTCCCATGCAGTCAACCGCAGTTTGAGTCCTGGACCCAGTGGCTTAAACTCACGCCAGGCACATATGCACATACCCCAGATCTTGAGAACAGAATGGAAGAGAAGGGATTGTGGCATGACCATCCCTGCTGGGGGGATGATTTCTCGTTTTCTGTCTTGCTGTCTCTCTGTCTTTCTGGTGAGTGCACGCACCCTCTAGCAAAAACCTCCAAAAAAAAAAAAAGAAAAGAAAAAAGAAAACTCAAGTATTTGTTACTCTTTTAGAATCATTACACTTATAATCTCTTACTTTTTCCCTAAACAAAAACAAAAACAAAAACAAAAACAAAACAAAACAAAACAAAAACCTATATTTTGATGATAGGGTTTCTGTCTGTGAAGAACCAGAATCACATATTAACTAAATATGTTTGACTATCATGGTACAACTTTTCAAGCAGGTGACCTGCACACATACACTTTCTTTATTTGCCATGTCACAGCCCCCACTTCTAGAGGACTGTATTTTTCTGTAACAAGGATTTGGAAAGGGATGATGAACTTTCTTTCTGCAATAGATCACCTTACGTAATTTATTTGGGCTTTTCACAGCTTGTCCAAATGTTCTATTTATATAAGCAGCCAACCGTTTGGAGATTTCTTAACCTCCTTCATGTTCTTATTACTGAAATTAGAGATCCATTTTCTAGGAAGACCAATGGGATGATCCTTAATGTTTTTATAGAAGTTCTGTTTTTTAACATTGTGGGTTTCAGATGCTCTATCTCTCTCTCTCTCTGTCTCTTTTTTTGGGGGGGAGATGTTTTTGCTGTAGGGTTCATGCGCTCACCAGAAAGACAGAGATAGAAAGTAAGAAATCACCCCCAGGGGGGATGGCCACACCGCAATCTCTTCTCATCCATTCTCCTCTCGGGATCTTGGGCACGCACGCACATGTGCCTGGCGTGAGTTTGAGCCATTGGGTCTGGGACTTGAATCGTGGTTGACTACATGGGAGTCCAACAACATAGCCATTATGCCAACTGCTGGTCCCAGTCATAATCTCTTAAATACCGAAGCCTCATGGTACCTTGGTACTTCAGCCCAGCACTGGTCCTGACAAACCTCTCTGGGCAGTCTAGAGTATCCTTCCACTTCTGGCTAGGCTCCACTCAGGGCCTTTCAAAAGTGTAGCCCACCAGGATAGCTCTAGTGTGTGGTGTTTTAAACAAGCCCCTTCTCACTGCAGCTCTGCCTTGGACAAGACACT